GTGTGCCATCTCTTGCGGAACACTCTGCATTTCTGTCCTCACTTGATTCCTTCCAGACCTCCCCATCCACAGTTAGGACCGTCATTAACAAGCTGAAAATCAATAAATCACCTGGTTTTGACGGTCTTCCCAATGAAGTTCTTAAACGTCTGGCACCTTCAATTTCGTCTCCTCTCGCCACCATCTTCACCATCTCCTTTGCAAGCGGCGTATACCCACTTGTTTGGAAGTTTGCTGTTGTCACTCCCATTTATAAGAATAAAGGTTCTCGTCAGCACACTACCAATTATCGCCCTATTTCACTGTACCAAAGTTTGTCGAAAGTATGTGAACGTGTTGTTTACAATATTCTGTATAAACATTTCTCACCCGCGCTTTCTCAGTACCAGTCTGACTTCTGTCGTGGGGACTCCACCTCGCTACAGCTGACCCGCATTGTCCAGGAGCTGTACACTCAGCGACACCAAAAGCGCCATCAAGGTCTCTGCTTCTTCGACTTGGTCAAAGCATTCGATTCGGTATGGCATAGAGGGCTGATCGCAAAACTACGATTGTGCTACCGTGTCACCCACCGCGCCAACAACTGGTTGTCGTCATAGCGGAGGATGCGAACCCAAGCCATGAAAGCAGGCGGCCTGATTTCGGAGGATCGTCCAGTAAATACAGGTGTACCACAAGGGTCTATTCTTGGCCCCCTGCTATTCTTGATGTACGTGAATGATTTGCCATCCGTTACTCCTGGCCTCTCGCTTTATGCAGATGACACCGCCCTTCACTGCTCAGCCTCCACCGAGCACGCACTAACAGTATCGCTCCAGCAGGGCATCGATGACGTGGTAAACTGGATGAAGATCTGGAAGCTACAGCCCAATGTCCAGAGGACAAAAGTGTTGTATATTTCTGCACGTCCCCCATCTGCACCGTTGACGTTTCCGAACTGCACCCAGGCCCTGGAAGTTGTAACATCTCACAGGCACCTGGGAATCGTTCTTGACTCGAAGCTATCGTGGTCCGAACATGCTGACCATATTTGCCTTAAGCATCCAGAATGTTAGGGACTCTGAAGCCTCACTGCCGTTATCTGCCTCACCGACTGTAGATCTCTGTTTTTCTCTTTGTATATTTGTCCGATCTTCGACTACTGTGACGTAGCGTGGTGTGGGTTATCAACCACGATATCAGACAAGCTCGAAGTTTGCCAACGAAAATTATTAAAAATGCTATTTTGCTTGCCCCGTGATTTCTCCTCTGCACAACTCTATGTTCTTGCTCATGTTTGCCCCTTTTTATTCGACGCAGTCTCCACAGCAACATGCTAATTCAAAAGATAAAACTCGAGAAAGTACCAAGGCATCTCTTTCCCTATGACTGGTTTGTGCAGAGCCGTTCAACAACGGCACAAGTCTCGCTACCTGCAGCTCGCACTGTTCAGTTTACAAAATCCCCTTTGTTTCATTCCTATTCTGACTGGCTTAAGCTATCAAGCCTCGCCCACCACTGGCACAGCAGGCCTCAGTTTCGCCAAGTTGTTTGTACTGAGTTGCGTTTTCCTGCAGCACTCACGCATGCTTAGCTAAACAATGTATTTTCCGGCTGTCTCGCTTAATTGGCTGAGCTTTGTTTTCCCCCTGTTCCTTTCTTTCCACTGTTTTCTTGTTTCTTTTGTACTTTTACCATGGCTGGTTATCGCCCTCATCTCTGGGGTTGCTCCCCACATTAGCAATGAGTGCACATGCTATGAGATTGAGTTTAACAATAATAAAATTTTAACGTTTGATGCGCTCCCCATAATATCAAGCGAATGGCCGAGGGCCGTCTTGATTGGTGTGTCGGTTGGCGCTTCACCAACCGACACATGCCCACAACCCGATCCAATACACAGTCATTCTGAAACTGTTGGCTACCAATGGCTCCACCAAGATACCGCACACTACCAGTCTGGATTCTAATGCCCGTTCCGGCGAAAGCCTCCTGTGCCTCAGCCAGAAGATGCGGTCATACAAGCAGCACAGTTTTCTTGGCATTGGGGTAGTACCCGTACTGAGGGCCGGCCTCCCCAATGGCAGACCAATACCAACGCAGTGGTTGTATCTTGTCGGCAGCCGCATCATCATCTGCGTACCATATTGAGCTGTTGACTCCGATGCTGAACCAAGCTGTGCAGCAGGAGGAACGGTGGCCAATGCGTAAAACGCCATTGCCAGAGGGTCCCCCTGGCAAGTTCCCTCACGCGAATACAATACCTCTCCACCATCGAGGTAAAGTGGTATGTCGGCCTGGTATGTATTTACAAACACTCGACCAGCTGCAGGGCAAACCTTTGGTATGTTGTTGATTGCGGCTGCACGGTTCAACGCATTCAACGCATTTGAAGCGTCAACAAGGAGAATGGCAGTGTCCTCATCTCGCTCGTACAGGCCAGAGAGGGCTTGGACAGCAACCTCACAGGCGGAGGGTACGCCGACACACAGCTGCCGTGGGACAGTGACGGCCGCAACGTCATGCTCGATCACGGCCATGATCACCTTCCGACCACTCTCCGGAAAACCTCACCGATCGCTATCGGTCTTACGTCAGGTTGCTTGTCAAGCGGTATTAGTCAACCGGCAAGGAAAGCTCGGAGATGAGATGGGTCAATCTCCTCCACGCACAAACACCTGGCCATGTGGGCAAGGGATGTGCAGAGTGCCTTCGACGCCGCACCGTACATGGAAGCCATCCGCCGCCAAGCCTCCGAATCCAGTGCCGAAGGGCCAGCAGCACCCTTCATCGCCATGATGGTAGTTCGTACCTTTGTTAATGTTATGGCCTCATAAAGCACGTTATCCGGTGGAGGCGGACCGTCATGCAGCAGAACGCTTGGCTCAGAGGGAACAGGATCAGGATGCCAACTCGGTAGCCACTGGCACACAGCGCACGTACGCCCCAGCCTGGCATGCATTCCTGGAGTTCATGGGTTGCGTGCGCCGCGACATACATCACCAAGACCAGAACAATGTCCTGCTGTTCACTGCTGCAATGTCTCACTCAGTCAGCGCCAGCACTCTGAGAGTCTACCTAGCCGCGGTCAAATACCACCTCCTCCGCATGGGAGGTCCTGTCGGGGTTACATCCTCAAGCCGCATCACAGCCCTGCTCAAGGGCTTAGAGAGGGAGAGAGCGTCGCCTCCCAGGCATCCATCGGCACGAAACCAGCACCAAGCGATCACCGTTCACCAGCTGGAGGCTCTCCACCAGTTCTTGGATCTGTCCTTGTACTCAGCAGACAGACTACAGCTATGGGCTGCCCTGACGATAGCCTTCCATTGCCTGCTATGTGTGAGTGAGTACATGTCGCTGTCACCGCACGGTCCCGGCGGCCTCAAGACTTAGAGTTGTGAACACCTTCGAATAGCCCAGCAGGAGGCCTCTCTGCAGCTCCAGAGGACGAAGACGTCTCAATTAACAACAGGCGAGGAGGTAGCGCTGCATCGCTACCCTGACCCCCTATTAGTGAGGTTCTGCCACACGGTATAACGTGCCAAAGTACGTATGGAAAGTTCGCCGCGGTACGGGATTTAGTTTGATACGGATTTTTTCATACCGTTTTCCGTGTGAAGCGCGGTTCACACGGACCGGACTCCGTGTGAAAAGTGAGCATACAGAGTACATGTGGCGGGGTGTTCGTGCATGGTTCGAGCATGCTACCTACAGCAGAACCGGTGCAACGTACGGAAAATCTGTGTCAAACTGCACTGCAGTTGACACGGAGTTTGGTACGTAGTTCCGTGTAGCAGAACCTCTCTATTATGCCCGTCCGAGCACTGCAGGCTTACGCTTAGTCCAGCAAATGTAGCAATGACAAGCAACTCCTCTTCAAGCTTCAGGATGGTCGCCATCTCACGCCAAACGACATCAATGCTGTCCTATACAAAGTGCTAGGTCCAAGCATCAGCAGCCATTCCTTATGCGTCGGGGGAGCCACACACAAGGCGGATCGAGGCGCCCCAAAGTATGCCCTTATGGCGGTAGGCCGCTGGTCTAGCAGGGCATATCGCACGTACATTCGCAGGCCCTCAGGCATGCCACAGCACTACTAGAGCCTGTGTGTCGCAAGCCATTCGGTACCTTTATTGGAGGCACGGGTGCTGCCGATGCGCGCCGCAGAGTGCACGCACATCGACACCATTGAACTATTCATATGTACTACGATTTAGTGTTCCGCTGCCTTAGCAACCTAGTAGTACACGTAGCCGGTCCGACGGCGCACGACCCCGCGGGTCGCTTCTGCTGTCCTTGCCTCTCTGACGCGTGATATGAGTACATCATAATAATCATGACCTCATACTGAGTACATGTACGTCATACTTGATTGCCGATCGCAGGCTCATGATTATTCGCGCTGGAATAAACGCTTGCGCCACCCCATGGGCTCATCTCTCTTGTGTCGCACGAGGGTTAATTTATTATTCATTGCTATCAGGTTCGGCTTCATTTTCTCTCTTCTGCGCTGATGAGTCCACAAAGGAAGAAACAGGTCTGGAACAGCTTTGTCCACAGATTGAGTATCTCGCTCCTGCTATCAGTTCCGGCCTCATTTCCTCTGTGCTGCGCTGATGAGTCCACAAAGGACGAAACAGGTATGTTCGCAGATTGAGGAGTTTGCTTCTGCTCTTGTAGCAGTCGAGCACTCTTGTGTGGCGTTTGTGTTATGCAGAGCTCACTGACTTGTCAGTTTGAGCACTCTGACAGGGTATGTTCAGGCCTGGTTTAATTAAAAAGGGCTTTGGAAAATATATTTTCATTGTCACCATGTTTAGCCTCATTTCCTCTGTGCTGCGCTCATGAGTCCACAAAGGACGAAACAGGTCTATCCGCAGATTGAGTATTTACGTCGGGTATTGTGCCTGTGAGAAATACATGAAGTTTCAGGAAGATGTGATGCAGCAAAGTAAAAAAAACCAAAAATCATACCCTGGGGTCCGTTTGGATCCAACAACCCGGAATAAGGGTTAACTTACAGGTTTTGAAGGGCTGTTAGGTTGGCAAATACATTTGTAGGAAGGCTTGCAAGTTGATTATTCTGCAGGAATCTACAAAAGGAGAGGAGAAAAGAGGACTAAAAATATTTGCGAATATTTGGGTTCAGTGATGGCCGCTAACATACCAGGCGGTAAACCGTAATAGGAGGAATAGAACACAAGTCTTGATTGCCGATCGCAGGCTCATGATTATTCACGCTGGAATAAACGCTTGCGCCACCCCATGGGCTCGTCTCTCTTGAGTCACACGAGGGTTAATTTATTATTCATTGCTATCAGGTTCGGCTTCATTTTCTCTCTTCTGCGCTGATGAGTCCACAAAGGAAGAAACAGGTCTGGAACAGCTCTGTCCACAGATTGAGTATCTCGCTCCTGCTATCAGTTTCGGCCTCATTTCCTCTGTGCTGCGCTGATGAGTCCACAAATGACGAAACAGGTATGTTCGCAGATTGAGGAGTTTGCTTCTGCTCTTGTAGCAGTCGAGGACTCTTGTGTGGGGTAGCCCTTTTGCCGTTTGCGTTATGCAGAGCTCACTGACTTGTCAGTTTGAGCACTCTGAAAGGGTACGTTCGGGCCTGGTTTAATTAAAAAGAGCTTTGGAAAATATATTTTCATTGCCACCTTGTTTAGCCTCATTTCCTCTGTGCTGCGCTCATGAGTCCACAAAGGACGAAACAGGTCTATCCGCAGATTGAGTATTTACGTCGGGTATTGTGCCTGTGAGAAATACATGAAGTTTCAGGAAGATGTGATGCAGCAAAGTAAAAAAAAACCCAAAAATCATACCCCTGGGGTCCATTTGGATCCAACAACCCGGAATAAGGGTTAACTTACAGGTTTTGAAGGGCTGTTAGGTTGGCAAATACATTTGTAGGAAGGCTTGCAAGTTGATTATTGTTCAGGTATCTGCAAAGGGAGAGGAGAACAGTTCATTCAGAATATTTGCGTATATTTAGGTTCAGTGATGGCGGCTAACATATCAGGCGGTAAACCGTAATAGGAGGAATAGAACACAAGTCAAGTAATGAAAACAATTGCATGAAAGCAAAAATGTGATAAGAAAATTGGAACCCTGCTCAAACACAGCAAAATTCAATGAAGCGAGCACTGTCACAGAAAAAAGTCCATCGCCAAGGGCGCAAGGCATTGATAGGGCGATGTTTCGCGGTGCTAGCTCTTCATACGGCACATGATGGTTGCGCGAAGTACGGCAAAGGATAGCTGCCATCGCAGGTATGACATCACGTGCCCATAGGGTTTGCTGTCATGCTGCGCCAACATGCCACGCATACGCTTTAGAAACATTCTGGGGATGTTCTTTCAGCCGTGGACAAGACAAGCGGAGTAAATTTCCCACGGTGAACATGAATTTTTTCTGCCTCTCGTGTTGCGGAAAAAGCGCTGAAATATTCCGACTAGCATGTGGAGCTGCATCTGGATGGAACACTCGTGCATTGATAGAATTTAATGTGTTTTGCGCACGAGTCCAAAACCCTCGTACTCGAAGTACACGAATATCCAACCTTGCATCATTTGCTGTGAGATAACTGGCTACAGTGAATACCTCACTCTGAAAGAGAGCTTACAAAGGTTCAATCACTACCTCTGGGAAAACTTTAGTTAGCAAATCAGCAAAGATGTCACACACTTCGTAATATTGTAGCATTGTTCCTGACGGTGGGTAAGACCCCCCCCCCCCCCCCCCCCGTCGAACAAGACATGGCATGTGCTGGAGTGAAATCCTTTCGCCATACACACGTTAATGGTACATCTTTCAGAGTCCATCCATACGTCAATGCAATGGCGTCGCGGAAGTCACAACTCGACAGGCTGACACCATGCTCCTTCAATGGCAGAGTGTTCAGCTAGCCAGAGACAACCTTGGCGGAAAGGTGCTCAAGGTGGCAAACAGTTGATGTATCTAGCATCCTACGAACGTCAGCACACCGCAAATCATCGATTTCCACGCGACGATTTGCAGCAGCAGCTTTGGCACGCTTGGCGGAATCACAGGCCAGTTCAATAGCAACCGATGGAGAATACACTTCTTTACAGTCGGTTTGTGATTGGAGGAACTTGAACAAGATTATAAGATCACAAATTAGAACAAGGCATACTTCCATATTTGCATGGTGGTGGTTTGTTCTTAGCTCCATCGTGTACGTTTTAGCAGCGCTCGTTTTTCGACCCAATATTCAGTCGAATTTAGGGCCCATTTCGAGGTGGTCGCCAGTTCCAAGCTGTCCGTAAGTTTTGCAACGAGCCCTTTCCCATGGTTGTACTCGTAGACCGAAAGGAAACCAAATTGCAAAAATTGGAGAGAGGGCCCAGCTTTGCTTTTCGGGTTTTCTCAGGCATGAGGTTCGTCGAATCATGTGGCATTTTGCAGCCTACCAAGAGTGGTCAGCCTAGGTATGGTTTGCCTCCATCTCTCACAATACAAGATAAACCTTGGAATTACATATCAATGAATTTCATTTTTGGGTTGCCTGAGACCCTTAGGGGAGAGCAGGTCTGAGAATACAAAAGTATGTGTGCAAGTAGATCTCTCCGATTTTGGTCGAAATTTTGGAGGTATGTTCTCTTTGGGGTGCAATTCCCGAGGGAGTCGCCGGAGAAGTGACCACTCACGGAGCTCCGCAGACCAGGAGAGCTACCCATTGAGTTGAAAAGGAAGGTGTTGATGGCGTTCGCAACCCGACTAGTGGGCGGCCCGCAAGATTATGTAGGGGAGAGAGTCAGACTTGACAAAGCAGCAAGTCAGGACCCCAGCTCCCACATCTCCGCAACCTTCCACGGACGTGTGTAACAGTTCTCACCTCATGCCTAGCACCTGAGGTGCACACTGCGCTTATTACCAGCTTTCACACTTACTTGTCATAATATAACGTGTTGGGTAGATGAGTTGATTATTCGTTTGAAACGGTTATTCCGTTACACTGGTTGCTTTGAGGATGGTTGTCCTCGACCCGTGCGATTTTTTGGTCAATGTCGTCCTAAAAGTCATCGTTACCCTGATAACGTATACCAGCTACGTGCAAAGCGCTGTAGGACATCCGCGACTGCAACTCTAGCTGTTCAGTCTTCGGCTAACGCATCTCCAGTGCAGCCTTCGTCCGCTCCCCCTCTCCCGGACCGGGAAGGAGACTGCCGCTAGTTCTCTGAGATGACCCCAGAGCCGCCATCTTCTCGCAAATTCAGGCTCAGAAACGTCAAGGAACCTCCAGTCTTGACCTGTGCAGTCGCAGGTTTCAGGCAGTGGGTATTTGCAATGGAGCTGGCAATGGGAGCGCTGCGGCGCCAAAATGCGAAAGACAAGGTGGCCTTTGCAGAGAGTTATCTGGCAGGAAATGCACAGATTTGGCTAATGTCATCAATCGATGCTGGCCAGGTGGTCCCAGATTGGTATACAATGAAGGAAGCCATTGGAAGCGCGTACGGACCTATTCTTGACCAAGAACAGGCTCAACTGCGGTTGTTGAGCATTTGCCAGTCGGGTCCCTGGACGACTACATCACCGACTTCACTAAGTCTTGCAAAAGTATAATGGTGGAGGACTTGGACGAGCATATTCGAGCGGTGTTGTTTTCAAGAGATTATCAGATACGCACCGTTTCATTGCGGTCAGAGAACCCCTCGAATACAGTGACGGAATCTATCCGAGCACCGAGGCTGAGTGCTCTACCATGCCAAAGACACACGCTCCACGAAACAGTGTTGCTCGTGGCAGAAACTTGTGGAGGGAAGGCGCTAGCCCGGAGAGCAGGAAGCGCGGTGAAGGCGTTCCTCAGCATGGACAATTCGTATGGGAACGAAATCTATTATAAACGACGAGACAAGAGACCTTGACAAATGAAACCACTACATTGAAGAGTGAGAAAGAGATTATTTGAAGAGAAAGTGAGTATGACGTAGTACGGGTGCATGCAGGCCGGCCAGCTTAGGAAAGGTTATAGGTAAGATTGTACGGTAAGAGGTACCTAACATACCGCCCCTGAGCAAAAAAAAGAACCGCGGCCTCCCGGGAAATATTTAGACGATAAGAAAAAAACACACACACACACAACGCACGGATCTGACAAAAGTGCTATACAGTACTACATGTTACAAACACTACAGTTTGTTCTGCTTCGCATGGCTAAACAGCTTAGTTATGCACTTTTTTGCAACCAGAATGATAGAGCATGGCTCACCAACAGACCCCTAATATTGATGGCTGGCAACACGCGCGCACACACACTACAAAAATCACGAAATAAAATATTTAATAAACCGAAATAAATTTGACGAAGTAGGACACATGAAAAATATACACGACTCCCTGCTCCGAACCCATGACCCTCATCCTCTACCGCCCTGCATTCGTCTCGTCATCAGTCTCGTCTCGTCTTCAACCTTGTCTCGTCTACCTCGTCTCGTCCAAGTCATGCAGGTCAGCTATTTTACATTATTTCTCTCTCTCTCTCTCTTTTCCCCAGTCTCTCTTTGTCGTGCGTCCTACTTCGTCAAATTTGTTTTCGGTTTATTAATTTCTTGATTTTTTTTCTCAGTCGGTAGAGCATGAGACTCTTAATCGCAGGGTCATGGGTTCGAGCCCCACGTAGGGCGCCAATGTTGAGTATGAATTAGACCCAATATTCTCCAGACACAATTCACAACAGGACAGGTAGGTGGAACGACATTTATTAGAGAAGACGCAGAGACAGAGACAAAGACAAACTACTATGACTACATTATGATTATTGACGAGAGCAAAGCAATATAACGGACCTGGGTGGCTATAGCAAACATGGGCGCGCAAGTAGCTACCCAGGCCAACGGATCGAAGGGTGAGTATGACGTAGTACGGGTGCATGCAGGCCGGCCAGCTTTTGGATTTGGATTGGATTGGTTTATTTAACGTCGAATAACAAACAGGCAGTGTTGCCTTATTACATGAGATCGACTAAAGTTACAGGCACACAAATGTAAGGAAAAGATTAAAAGAAAGAAAAATTGAAAAAAAGAGTAGGATTTAAGACAGCAGCAAGCTAGCAGAAGAAAGATTGCATAATTATTTGATCAGTGAGCAACGTAAGTCAGTGAATTTTTCAGGTGGGGTAAGAGAGCAGTCCGGAATTGACCTGGTTTCTTCAGTGATCGTATAGATGCAGGCAACTTATTCTAGAGAGCGGGACATTGATATGAAGGGCTGCGTGTGGCAGCGGCAGATATGATCATCGGGGAAAGAAGCAGGGGAACATCTGTGCTCCTCGTTCGACGGGTGTGTGACAGAGGTGTAACGAGGTCATGAAGAAGCACACTACAGTTATTATGAATTACACGAAAGGTTAGCGGGAGGAGTTTGTGGCAATACATTGATTGCAGGCGTTGAATGCTGAGGCGTTCAAAAAGAGGGGCAGTTGCAGACAGGAAGGGAGCAGAGCAGACAACACGCACAGCTCGCTTGAGAAGTTTCTCAAGACTATCACGTTGTGCAGAGGAAAGGGAAGAGGAAAAGCTGTTGCATGCGTATTGGAATGTGGGTAAAATTATACATCTCAAGTAGGTTGAGCGGCATGGCATTGGGAGGCACTGCCTGTGGCGGAAGAGAATGACAATCTTTGAGGACACTGTCTTGGCTATATGGTCAACCATTGTGTTCCATTTCAGGTCGTCATCGATGTGCAAGCCCAGGTACTTGGCGCTTGTCACTTGCTGGAGGAGTGTAGCTGCACAGTGCACATTCAATGTCTTGTCGTCATGACGATTGGCAGGAATAAACAATATTTGTGTTTTTCGACTATTCAGGATTAGGTTGCGCTCGCCAAGCCAGTTGCTGAGATGGGTGATGGCTGAAGACAGGTTGTGTGACAGCACTACCTTGTCCTTCTTGCTATCGTGTAGCAGGATGTCGTCTGCGAATT